ACACAGTAAAAGATTACTAGAGATCGAGACACTTTGGGGAGCTAATTAAGCTTCACTGACAGCTAAATAAGAAAGCTAACTAGCCGAGCTAACTAACCGTTTCTAACTAAGCGTTTCTTTACTGAAATCGAAGATCAGATCAAAAATCCGGATCATTGGGATTTTTCGTTAGGAAAAGAAACGTTGTATCCAAATGTGAAAACATGTTTTTCACTTAAACACCAGTGTGGAAACAAGTTTTTCCCTTCACAAAAGACTCAAAGAGGGGGGTCCCCGCTTTAACCTCGTTCTCAGGGCGTTTCCCTGAGAAAATGGAAGGGGTGGGGACTGCTTTACTTCAGTACCTTTACCTTTATTTGACTCTCTCTGTGTGTAGTCACTTCGATTAGGAGGTTGCTGGGAAAAATTTATGTGTTCCTCATTCCCAGCAAGACTGATGGAAAAGTTCCAAGCCAGCAAGGTGTACCTACAACTTGCAACCTGACGTACTGGGAAGTTTCCCAGCAGACGTATCTCCAGGCACCTCTGACCGGTTTGGGTGAGGCCCAAGGACACAGGACAAAATTCAGACCTTCAGTGGGGGGCAGAGGGGGGCATAGAAACATGGGTGTGGCCAAAAGGCGAATTTATCCCTTCTGGGGGTGGGGAAGTTTCTGGCAAAAAACTCATGCCAGATATTCTACACATCAAATCCCAACAGACACCCACAGTTATATTTTTCCAAGCAACACTTATCATCTTTGGACATATCACTTCTTCCAATTAAACTCCCATCCAGCAAAAAAACTGGCCTGAAGAACATATATTTTTTTAGAAACAGATCTATTGGGTGCCCCTGATGCATGTTATGGCTGTTTAAACTGATTCTAGAGCACGTGCTGGTTTTCTTATTTATTCATATTTTAAAGACAGTGTATTTACAGCAATTTTTTTTCCCTTTTCTCGGTTATTTTTGTTCTTTTTAGGGAATCATTTGTTAAATAATCCCTCACAGTATTATCCACTGTCTGAAACGTTGGTGGCGGCTTTGATTGTAATAGAGGCGGAGTGCGGGGGTTGAAACAATCAGAGCTGATAACAATAACAGAACAATGCGGCAATATATTTTTCCATTCCCCTGCTCATGTTCCTCTGAACATGTTTAACCATCCCACTAAAACTGCACAAGTCAGAATTTTTTGATTTAATGTACTTACCACATATTCTTGGACTTCACTTTCGTCGTCGGCTGCTGTCATAGCGCAAACTAGATATTCGCATCACCGGCCGCGTCACTTTTAAACGAATTTGACATTACATCTCCAATATTATTTTACCTGCGAACGTCCTTGTTTGCAACGTGACTCGTTGGGCGACAGACACAAAACTCCGTCGAAGTGGGAGGCCCGAAAGAGTTTCCAAAACTACTCTGCCTTAACGTTAAGAATAGTATTCCTTTGAGTTACTCGTCTCTCTCTGGCAAAGCGACTGTTTGACCACTCCACACGAATGGACCCAATTTCCATATTTTAGAATTCAACCTCAAACAATTCGAGTATCTTGGGAATAAGCATTTCTAAAGAATTTACTAAGGTAATTCCCTTGAAAATGATGTACTATCCAGATTTTTTTTATGTCCTCACCCCCTCCTCCGACCCCCGCCCTTTCAAGACTTCTACAACTGGGGCTTAAAAGGAACAAATTGTTGGCAACGCCCCTGATTGTCTTAGAAAACCAAAACTGTATATCGGTTGCCGACACGACGAACTAGGTTGTGAAGGGAGGGGTGACTTAGAGGGCCACACAGTAAGAACTAAGTTGTGAAGGGAGGGGTGACGGAGAGGGCCACACAGTAAAAAATTACCAGAGATCAAGACATTTTGGGCAGCTGACAGCCAAAAAAAAAAGCTAACTAGCCGAGCTGGAAACTCAGAGTGCTTTTCTTTACTAAAGTCTAAGATCAGATAAAAATCTGGATCATTAGAATTTTTCGTTGGGAAAAGAAATTTGAAAACAGCTTTTTCACTTAAACACCAGTGTGGAAACAGGTTTTTGCCTCCACAAATTAGGATAAACGGACGACGGGGAAAACTCTACAATGCTCTCTGGGAAAGGCCTTTTCCTGGGGACACTCGCTGGCTGCGAAGAGGCGCGGAATCCCTTTCGCCTGTTGAATACCCTTAAAACAACAATAGTACACAGAACTTGACTCCAATGTAGAGGTTTAATCCAAGACGTAACCAGGATGTAACCGAAGAAATTCATACAAAGCACTTGTATTTAAGCCTAAGCTAATGATTGGATACAGATTACATCATAACTCAACGAGTCAAAATAACCGAATACAAAATCATTTCTGAAAGACTATTGGTGGAAATGGAAACTTGTAGTGAAACATTAATTACTTCCAAAAGTTTACACAAGTGGATAACGGTTCCTCACAGGTTGATTACAGCTTGGAGGCTACTACAATCATGACTCGACAAATAAGTTTACGCTCAATAAATATCAACAGGTTGTTTATGGTTTGGAGAAGCTAAGACTAAAGAATAAAGAATTTCTACATTGGCTTTTCATATTTTTTATCAGCGAAAGCAAAATAACTTAATAACAATAAATTCTCTCTTCACATTCCTCCATCTTAAGTTTCAGCTGTCCTCAGCTGAGTGGAGAAAAAAAAATGAAGTTAAAATGATAAGTGTCTTAAAGAGAAAAAAACAAAAGCGCAGCGAATAAAACTGGAACCTTGTATTTTGCGTGTAGTTTTGAATTTTTTTTATATATTTGTTTTTCTGGTTTTTGAAATTTTGTATTTGATTTTGTGCCTGAACCGCGGCATAAACCGAACAAGCCTGAATATAGTGGCCTCGGGGGTCCAATTAACAAAACAATAAAATAAGCAAATCAAATAGAGTACGCTAACTGGAATTTGTAGCGTTTGTGCAAAGGACACTTCGTGAGGTCAATTCATATGGCTTCTTTTTTTTTTTGCAAACTTGCGTAGAGCTATCCGTTCACGCGGTGTCACAACATGGCTGAAGACGCTGTGAGATAGCACAGTTAAGACCAGATGTTACTTTGAATGCGTATGACTGATTTAGTATAGAATTTACCCTGTTGCTGGGGTTGTTTCAATTACCCAACAAGGTCTCTCAGGTTCTTACACTGTCCTAAGAAACCAAATCGTTTGTCTCCGAGTTCCTCGCTGTGTATCGTTTGCCGACACGAAGATCTAAGTTGTGAAGGGGAGGGGTGATTGAGTTAGCCAAACAGTAAAAAAGTACCAGAGGTCGAGACCTTCTGGGGAGCTAAGCTCCACAGGTAAATAGCAAAGCTAACTAGCCGAGCCAAAAAACTGGAGAAACTGAATTAAGTAGTCGTATTTATACGCAGTTAAACAAATGAGTTCTGGGACAGGAAAAAGGGGTACAGTAAACGGCAAAGTTACGACCAACTTGCAGATAAAAGGTGCCAACAATTGAAATAAGAAAACTTGATATTGAAACAAACCACACGCGAACAAACCTATTAAATAGCAGTCCTACGCATAACTAAAAGTGAGTAAATGTAAAACTACAAAATTAGTTATTTAACCCAGTAATTGAACAAGTAATTTGATTGCAAAATTAGAATTGTGACCTTTGTAGACAGTAAGAGTAAACTGATCAGCCAAAAGAATAAAAACTACAACTGTGTAACTATAATAAAAGCATCAAAAACTATATCATATTGTCAATAGACACGTCTAAAATGACTCTGTAAAATATGGTATAATAATGAAAATAAGAATTGACTACTGATTCCTGATGTCCTTCTCAGGTGACTACTGAACAAGTTACTACCGCACAAGGTGTGCACACGAATAGTCTCCTGACTCAATCTACGAAAAGTACACTTGATTTTCTCTTCTGGATAAGGAGTTCCTAAGCGATGAACGCTCCACTTTGTATTTGTTACACAACAAAAACTGAATTAAAATTCAGATAGGAACCGCTTCACTGCATTCTCTTCGTACCTATACAACAAAAACAGCAAAAAGAAACGTTAGCAAGCTAGTTAAAGGAAAGGATAGTGATTTCAGCCGGCGAGGTACAATATTCTAAATCTGTTAGAGCAAAGGATAATATTTAAACTGTTAACTTCATAAGATTCTACAAAGAGCCTTATCGTAGATAATTGATACTTTCATACCGTAAATCCTCTATGAAGACCCCTGTCCAATAAGCCCCTCCCCCCAATTTCAGGGAGGAAAATTCTTTCCTTTTAAGCCCCCTCCACCTATTCTTAAATAATAGACGTATGGCAGATGTAATAATTAATCACGATTGTAACACCTCACGTGGACTGATCCCGTATGGTTTATTCACGTCCTGGAAGTTCAAACTTGTTTTTGATCTTCGGCTGCGCGACCTCCAACTTCATTTGATTCAGTTCTTCTACTTTAGCTTCGGTCTCTATTCGGAATAGAGAATCGATAGTCATACCACAATCTTCGCTTAATTAAATAACCCCTCTCTATTACCCCGCCTCCCTATTAAACATACTTGAAAGAATTAAGTCCCCCCCGGGTGCTTAATAGAGGATTTATGGTAGGTTCCTACCTTTCAGTCGGTGAGTATGACCTCTGTTGCATCTTATAACCGACCACTTATCAAAAATACCAAAATCATTTTTCCACCCAAAGCACCACCATACCTGGAACCACTCCTAAGCGATCACCGTTCGTAAGTGACCGGCAAATATTGGCATTTTAGGTGGTCCCTTAAGGTAGGTTCTACTGTATAAATGTTACAAAGGAACGAACTCGAAAAGGGCCACCGACACTTTGTAATGTACAGAAATGTTCATGTGTTTGACTGCCTAAAATATCGTAAAGTCAGAGTCCTTTTTAACTGCTGACATGACCTGTGATTGGCAGCTTGATGTTAAGTGGCACCGGTTGAGTTCGTTGCCTTATAAAAATTTTGTTTAAGCACGTAATATGATCCCAGGTTTAAATACATCCCAAAATACCTTGCTATTTATTTGATGCCCTCAAACTCAAGCGTTACGTCGTCACCAATGAGAACAAACGGTGCCCAGTACCTCACTGCACTAAAGCGGTCAGATTCTCTCATGGATTTCATGGCCTCATTCAGAGCCTCACTGGCACCTCTTCCATTGACTAGTTGTCGGTAGAAAAATTCCATGAACTCCATCGTAGCCTCGTCGTCAATCGCCCATAGGGAGACCAGAACAGAACGAGCACCAGCGCCCAAAAATGCCCGTGCAATACCGACCACTCCCTCAGATTTGACTTCTCCGCGAGCACTATGACAGCAACTGAGTACAACAAGTCTTGCCCTAATCTGCGCCTTTAAAACATCCTTCATAGTTAAGAGATAGTCTTCTTTGACTGGAATCGGGGATGAACGTGTTGTGTTGGGGGCTAAGGCAATTTCCCCTGTTTCCATTTTACCGTGAGCAGCAATGTGCACCAAACCAACCGAGGAAATACGCCTTAAAACTTCATCTTTTGTTGCATGCTTTCCAACGAGAGGTGCAGTTTGAAGTATTTCCCCGATCATCTGCACTTCCTTTTCGGCGTACGCTAACTGCTTTAATTTCTTTCCTTCATAAATTACCTCTTGTACCCACGGATCGCCGACAAGAAGAGCGCCAGTCTTGCTGTGCCAATCTGCTGGACAATTTTGGATTAATCGCAGACTAGAAAGTGAGGGAAGCAGACGAATTCTAAACGTTTCGCAGAGGTACTTTGATTTCAAGTCCATGAAAGCAGCATAAGGCGCCAAACACAGAGGTCCTTCTGGAACAATCACAACCTCATCGCCCTGGATTATGTCTCTTATGGGGTCTATGACAACATTGTAAAATGTTTGCAATGACTTTGTGTCAAAATATGAAGGATGAGACTTTGGCTTACTTGATCTTTTTTCTGCTAACTTATCGCTTGGGTTACTTAATGAGCGATCTTCACAATTAACATCAGCTCTTACACCTATTTCTTTATGTGTAGCCTCCAATAGAGACTGAAAATAGGTTGTGACGGACATATCAATCTCAGTTCTTCTAGTTTTGATTTCATTTCCTTTCTCGTTCACCCAGAGAACTATTCCTCCCTCGCTGATACCCATGAAAGCTGTATTTGGTGGTAAGTAACTAGCAAAATCACTTGGGCTTGCAGAGAGTGTTCCTATTTCTTGGCGTAACCCTTTAAGGCCATAATTGAACTCCAGAAGATCATTTAAAGCTCCTGCACGTCCTTGATCAGCAGTTAAAAGTGCCTCAATGACTTTACCTTCCTTAAACTGCAGCTCCCACAGCCTCAAATTAATATGATCATACGTACTTTTAAGGGTAATCTTCCATTCGTCGTTAGATATGAGATTTCTTCTAATGTGGTCGAAGGCTATAACACTGTTCTTATAACACTGAATAGCTCTCTGAAATTCTCCAAGACTGTGATAGGCGTTGCCAAGATTACCGTAGGCTCCTCCTTCTCCTGCCCTGTCTCCTACTTCTTTCGAAATTTTGAGGTGTCGTTCATGGTACTTTATGGCTTTCTGGAAATCTCCAAGATTTCTAAAGGCGTTGCCAAGATTACCGTACGCTCCTCCTTCCCCTGCCCTGTCTCCCACTTCTTTCGAAATTTTGAGGTCTCCTTCATGGTACTCTATGGCTTTCTGGAAATCTCCAAGACTGTCATAGGCGTTGCCAAGATTACCGTACGCTCCTCCTTCTCCTGCCTTGTCTCCCACTTCTTTCGAAATTTTGAGGTCTCGTTCATGGTACTCTATGGCTTTCTGGAAATCTCCAAGCCTGTGATAGGCGTTGCCAAGATTACAGTACGCTTTTCCTTCTCCTGCCCTGTCTCCCACTTCTTTCGAAACTTTGAGGTGTCGTTCATGGTACTCTATGGCTTTCTGGAAATCTCCAAGACTGTCATAGGCGTTGCCAAGATTACTGTACGCTTTTCCTTCTCCTGCCCTGTCTCCCACTTCTTTCGAAATTTTGAGGTGTCGTTCATAGTACTCTATGGCTTTCTGAAAATCTCCAAGCCTGTGATAGGCGTTGCCAAGATTACAGTACGCTTTTCCTTCTCCTGCCCTGTCTCCCACTTCTTTCCAAATTTTGAGGTGTCGTTCATGGTACTCTATGGCTTTCTGGAAATCTCCAAGACTGTGATAGGCGTTGCCAAGATTACCGTACGCTTTTCCTTCTCCTGCCCTGTCTCCCACTTCTTTCGAGATCTTGAGGTATCGTTCATGGTACTCTATGGCTTTCTGGAAATCTCCAAGACTGCGATAGGCGTTGCCAAGATTACTGTACGCTTTTCCTTCTCCTGCCCTGTCTCCCACTTCTTTCGAGATCTTGAGGTGTCGTTCATGGTACTCTATGGCTTTCTGGAAATCTCCAAGACTGTGATAGGCGTTGCCAAGATTACCGCACGCGCCTCCTTCTCCTGCCCTGTCTCCCACTTCTTTCGAAATTTTGAGGTGTCGTTCATGGTACTCTATGGCTTTCTGGAAATCTCCAAGACCTTGATAGGCGTTGCCAAGATTACCGTACGCTGTTCCTTCTCCTGCCCTGTCTCCCACTTCTTTCGAAATTTCGAAGTGTCGTTCATGGTACTCTATGGCTTTATGGAAATCTCCAAGACTGTGATAGGCGTTGCCAAGATTACCGGGCGCTTTTCCTTCTCCTGCCCTGTCTCCCACTTCTTTCGAAATTTTGAGGTGTCGTTGATGGTACTCTATGGCTTTCTGGAAATCTCCAAGAGTGTGATAGGCGTTTCCAAGATTACCGTACGCTTTTCCTTCTCCTGCCCTGTCTCCCACTTCTTTCGAAATTTTGAGGTCTCGTTCATAGTACTCTATGGCTTTCTGGAAATCTCCAAGACTGTGATAGGCGTTGCCAAGATTACCGTACGCTTTTCCTTCTCCTGCCCTGTCTCCCACTTCTTTCGAAATTTCGAGGTGTCGTTCATGGTACTCTATGGCTTTATGGAAATCTCCAAGACTGTGATAGGCGTTGCCAAGATTACAGTACGCTTGTCCTTCTCCTGCCCTGTCTCCTACTTCTTTCGAAATTTTGAGGTCTCGTTCATGGTACTCTATGGCTTTCTGGAAATCTCCAAGACTGTGATAGGCGTTACCAAGATTACCGTACGCTTTTCCTTCTCCTGCCCTGTCTCCCACTTCTTTCGAAAATTTGAGGTGTCGTTCATGGTACTCTATGGCTTTCTGGAAATCTCCAAGACGAAAATAGGCGTTGCCAAGATTACCGTACGCTGTTCCTTCTCCTGCCCTGTCTCCCACTTCTTTCGAAATTTTGAGGTCTCGTTCATAGTACTTTATGGCTTTCTGGAAATCTCCAAGACCTTGATAGGCGTTGCCAAGATTACCGTACGCTATTCCTTCTCCTGCCCTGTATCCCACTTCTTTCGAAATTTTGAGGTGTCGTTCATGGTACTCTATGGCTTTCTGGAAATCTCCAAGACCTTGATACGCGTTGCCAAGATTACCGTACGCTCCTCCTTCCCATGCCCTGTCTCCCACTTCTTTTGAAATTTTGAGGTGTCGTTCATGGTACTCAATGGCTTTCTGGAAATCTCCAAGACTGTGATAGGCGTTGCCAAGATTACCGTACGCGCCTCCTTCTCCTGCCCTGTCTCGCACTTCTTTCGAAATTTTGAGGTATCGTTCGTGGTACTCTATGGCTTTCTGGAAATATCCAAGACTGTGATAGGCGTTGCCAAGATTACCGTACGCTGTTCCTTCTCCTGCCCTGTCTCCCACTTCTTTCGAAATTTTGAGGTGTCGTTCATAGTACTCTATGGCTTTCTGGAAATCTCCAAGCCTGTAATAGGCGATGCCTAGGGCGTGCTGGAAATCTTTAAAGTTGACAAAGGGGTCGCCAATATTACCATTAATAGCTGCGGTTGTCATATTTTTTTTTTTTGCTGGCTTTTCTATTTCAGCTCAGCCACATATTGTGGTTTCTTTTTTCTGCTGATACTATTTCTCTCTATGTACGATAACGAAGAGGGTCTGAAAAGTAAAATTAAAAGCTGGAGTAAAAGCTTATTTATTAGCTCCTTTACTACTGGTTTTTGTCTATCACAGTCGGATTTGATTTGCCTCAAAAAGGGATCCTTCTATGTGTTTTTCATCGTTGTATAATATGACTTGGTGGACTGGGGTCTTTTCTAAAAAAGGAAAATATTAACATTCGTTTGGTGATAATGATCGAAATTAAAAAAAAAACAAAAACAAAAAACAAAGAAACAGATTTACCATTGTTTAAACATGGTGTATATATGGAGGATATTATATGGCCGCGCGGAGATGGGAAAATTCTCTTCGAGTGTTGAAAAATATTTCACTCGTTCGCTGCGCTTATTCGCGAAATATTTTTTTCAACACGAGAAGAGAAATTTCGTACCTCCAAGCGACCATGTAATTTTCTACTTACTATATAAACACCAATGAAATACCAACCATTTTACTTAAATAGTCTTTTGGTCTCAAAGGTGCGGTTTATTATGAAGCTATAGCAACGATGACATTTTCAAATGTGAAGATATGAAGTTTTCGCGCGAAAGATCACTTGGTATTTCATTGGTGTTTATGTAATAAAAATTGTCTATCTACTCATTATATATTCATCTACCTTCCGCTGAAAAAATAAATTTGTTGTCAACAAACAACAAACCGGGCCAGCGGAAACATTTCAGAAAATTCAAATTTGGGAAAGTGAACCTATTTCTAAGGGTTAACATCTCTAGGTAGCGGAATACAAGTGTTTAGCAATTGAAAAGAAAACCTATTTCTTTACCACCAAAACACTGAGAAAGTTACAGGTGTTTTAAGCTTGTGGGTCTCTAAAAAACTGTAATAGTTCCACAACTGGTTCCAGCTCAAGTCCAACTCGGTGTATAAACCTGAGGAGTTTTCCTTTTTTCCCTCCTATTTTCTTAGGTAGACCTATAAGTAGGATGAGCATGATCGTCCGAGGGCTGACGTAGTACTAAATAGGACTGTTGCATTGACATTGACTGAGGCGCGGTAATTATCTGCAGAGTCAAAGTGAGTTGTATTACGTCAGTTGATGGTACAGTCGAACCTCCACGTGGGACCACCTCTCGTAAGCGACCACTTCCCATAAGAGACCGCCAATCCAAAACACCAAAACTTTCCCTGTCAAAGCCTTACAGTTGGAACCTCTAGTAAATGACCACCTCCCGTAAGCGACCGCGACCACTTTTTGGGCCTGAAAGTTTAATGATTTTCCATTATTTTTAAGCTCTTGTAAGCGACCACTTGACGCATTCTCTGATCTCTATGCTGTGTGCACTATGCTACTTAGAATATACGACATCGATGTACGAAGAACTTCAGTAACAACATTGAACTACACATGGCGTAACTTAGAAATTGCATACAATAAATTATCTTCCATAAAGTAGATGTGACGGCCAATGTCTCTTTTTATGTTATTGTGATTCTTGCTTTGCGCGTGAAAGTCCGCATTCCTTGCAGGAAAGGGATGTCCTGGGGAATGTGCTCATTGTTGATCACCGCGTCAAAAAAATATTATATATATTCACTAGGACAGTTAGAGAGGCTTTATAACGCAATATCAGACAAAAACAAAACTTAAATTTAATTTGCTTTGTTAGTCTTAAGAACCAGAATTGAGAAATGAACTGCTTGTTATTAACAGCAGTTTTGACCCGTAACGACAATAGTTTTTGGAATTTCCGGTTAGGTCAAATTAGTCACACTATTGTCGGTTTTCACATGACGTCACTAAAATTCAAACTAAAAAACTATTGATCCTACCAAGATTTTACTTTCACGATGCATTAGAGTAGCTGAAAACTGACTTTCATTCAAATTTTCGCTTCAAAAGGGTTCTTGGTTTTGTGATAGAGTACGCTTGAAATTCAGTAAGCTTTTGCGTGGCGCGGCATTTACATGACGCTGCCAAGAGAGCTGTCATGTAGGTTAAATAAATGACTTATTTCAGGAAATTTTGCTATCTAAACAGTTCATGCATTAGAAAAAATATTACTTTAATGTTTATGAGTTTCTCGAAGAATAGATTCACGCTTTTGTAGCAAAACTCGGTAACATGTTTCTGTTGGTTTCCGTCCGCCATGTTGGAGCTCATCCAGGTGAGTACCAGCATGGCGTCTCCATACAAATCTCTATAAGTTTGCCGGGTAAAACATTTCTTCGGATATCTCGTATGCGAAATATTCCTCTGACCTGAATCTTGGCGAGGGTCTTTTGTATATGTACCTCCTTTCATTTCGCAGATTCTGGACTTTATCTTTTGAACGGTTTTGATTTTTATTTTGATCTATTTTGAATGGCGTGACACTGAAAACCAGCAATATTTTGGGGAGCAGAGAGATTGAGCGAGGGGTGCGTGAAAATGACGCTTATTGTTTCCTGCTTAGAATCAATGGCTCACTTCCATATTTTTCTTCATAATGGTGGAATTTGAAAAGGTACTATACAGCCCCGACTTAAAAATGGTACTCATTTTTCTTGTTACGAAAGTCTTCCAAAAGGGTACAATGTTCAAATGAGTAACTGTTTAACTCTCACATGAGATGCTATGTCACGCAATGGTCAGCGACAAGCCTGGTGGACTAAGTGTGCAGCCACCCACCCCCGCCCCCCGCCCCCCAGGAAAATTAAATTGGCAGCACAGTAAAAATCACCTTTTGGCGATTCTTGTTAGATCTATTGATCTTGATGCCATTTTCATTGACGTCGCCGTTGAACATTACACGATTTAATTTTTTTTGTCTATAAGTATTATTAACCAAAGCTTTTCTTTTAGCCCTGGGTAAATCTATATATTACTTGTTGATTCAGTTATTTTACATTGGTATGCCTGTGGGACGGGCGAGCGTACGGTTACGTGATTACCAAAACTTCTCGGGTAACAGCTGGAGTAAGTAGATTACCACACTTTTTTTATTTTAGGTAGGGGCTACGCTCGTACGCGTGGAGCTCTGTTATAATGCATTTTTACGGTAAAGGAACCTTGGAGTTCTAGTGTAACTTCAGCTAATACAATGCCTACCTTATTTAGAAATTCCCAAGTAGTTTTGATAGTTCGCTTGATTTGTCCCGACGAAAGGGACGACAATAGCAACTCTAGGGACGAGGAACCGGTAATAGGGAACTTAAGAACCACGACGAATTTCACGACGACGACGTCTGCTGACTGGGAAAAGACTGGGACGAGAACGTCAGTTTCGGCGGGAAAAAGAGAGCTTAAGGTGACTCGATCCAGTTATTTTGTGAGGGTACCATCCTACTTTGAAGCTCTCTGGTATCCCCACCTTTACTTTGATCGTAAGTCTAACATATAGCATGGATAACATATAGATCAATCTGCAATATAGTAAAATTTTTGGCGATCAGAGTAAATGTTACGTGGTTATAGTGCCACACCTCTTGGGGTCTGAGTCGAAATTCTGCTGTTGCCGGTATTTTTTCGTGAAAATCTCTCGGGTACATATAGTGCGTATTAGTGCCTTGCGTTGAACAGACTTTCACCAAAATCGCAAAGACCCAATGCGAGAAATTCAGCGGTTTCCAAATTTAGGTCATAATTTATGCGAAAATGAAGAGCCAACTTTACTCGATAATATCTAATAAACTATGAGATTTATTCCTTTTATTTTGGGGATCTTTATAACAGATAGGTCCGTGCAAGTCAGCAAAAAACTTTAAGGACTTGTAAATGCGCGCGATTTCGAGCAATGCAAACATATACAAATTATAGTTTTAGCTAGTTGTTGACTTTTGTCAGCGTTTAAGAGTCCTTCTCACGAAAAAAGCATTTTCTTAAAAATTCGTAGTTTTTTTTCCTTCAAATCTTTTCAGGGCCACAATTGATTAACGATTAACTGACTACCCGAATTCTGAATTTCGTGATCATTGAAAAACTGTGACATTATGTTCTATAAGCCCAAACTTGAGTAAACATTGAAGATTTTTAGCGTTTTGGCTAAGTTTGTGCTTTGGGAGTTTAGTCTGTCATGATACAACATTCTTGTTCAGCACGCGTGCAATTACCGCGTTTGGCTGACTTCCGAACAGTTGGTCTGAAACTTCCTGTTTTTTCTCCGAATACTGCCGGATATGCTTTGTGATGAGTGACCTTCTAATCTTCTAACGAGGCTCAAATACACTTTGTGTTTGATTTGAGGTGAAAAAAAATAAGACTGGAATTTCAATTGTCGCAGTTGTGCTGTCATAGGGCCTACCCCTGGAACTTGATTGACAACCGGACTGGTGACAAATTGCAGTCGTAATTCCGTACGAAAGATAGTTTTCCTTCCAGGTTCTTCCAATTTTCTATGTCCGCTTTAATTTTATCAATGTATTACGATTTCCGCATTAAGTGAGATTGAGGTAGTTTGTTTCAATCGTCTACTAATCCCCTGGTATCAAATTCCCCACCCCTCCCTCCCTCCTTCCAATCCCTAACCCCTGTTGACGCTTGCTATGCAGTCAGACAAATTTTCACTTTCCGTGTTCATCACCAAGTAAACAGTTCGGGGTTTTTTCTACCCCCAGGGTGGGAACTGATTGATGGTTCTGTTTGATCAAAACCGAAGAAGATGTGTGACGAGAACGGCTTAACGCTTTAAAGCTTTATGTCGCCTTAAAGTATTGTTTGGTAGCCAGTAGCGCGCGCTGGCTCCACTGTAAGCAGTTCCTCAGATAAACGTAACCCCAAATTACTGAAGGATAGCCTGCGAGCAAGCTCTCCTATTTGGGCGAGTGAAGCGAGTCTCGCGAGAACGCGCGAGCAAGCGGGGAAGCCGCGACGGCCCCTCGCTCGCGCGTTTTCGCGAGGCTCACTTCGCTTGCCCAAATAGGAGAGCTTGTTCGCAGGCTAACTGAAGGATACCACTAGTTGCAATCAAATGTCGCCATCGCCCAAATGCACCGCATTTTTAACGATCAGCGTTAGAAGGAAGCAAAAATCTGGTTTTGTGCTGGCTGCAGTCAGCCTAAGAGTCAGGAAAATCACGATTCCATGTTTTCTTTCGGTTAAAGAATAAAATTCGCACCCCCTCCAGTCTGGGATGTTTTTGTTCTTCCAGGGATTTGTTGCTCTCTCGGTACATCTTCAGTAATTGAATGTCATTTATAGAAAAAAACTTGAGGGTTTCGAAAATCCCCTGGTGGGGTACTCCCTATATTGGCGTATACGGGGAGGCCGTCCTCTTTTATCTCGGACTATTTTCCTTCATCACGGCTCTTAAAATAAAGCCAACCTTCTTCTGTTAGGAGCTTTATTGTTTATGGCCGCTTAATAGAGGTGACAAAAATGGGAAAACTGTCGTTGGAACAGCAAAAAGGTGGCCACGATCGCTTAATAGAGGTGGCTGCTTCAATAGAGGTTTAATTTCCCATTCTTTTCTACAATTATTTCGGGGCATTGATCACTGGCCGCTTAATGGAGGATGGCTGCTTAATAGGTGGCCACTTAATGGAGGTTCAACTGTATACAGAGTGGGATGATAACTATGTGTGCATAATAAATCAATCAAAGGGCGGAGAGGAAATCCTACATGATTGGTACTATCGCGGAAAAATTCTCCTGCGATCTGAAAGATCATAGACAAAACGGACTAACATACTTTGACAAAAGTTTAACCTTGGAGATTAAGAACCAGTTGCATTTCTAAGGTAAAGGAACCTTGGAGTTTTATTGTAACTTCAGCTAATGCAATGCCTACCTAAGTTATAAATTCCCAATTAGTCTTGATCGGTTCCCTTGATTTGTCACGACGAAAGCGTCTGCAAGCAAATTATATTTTGTAAGACAAAATTAAGTTAAAAGTCAATTGCATTTTCCATCACAAAATAACAGGACTTGCACAAAACTTACCAAGCCACAATCAACCCTTCTACCAAGCTCGAAAAAGTTGAACCAAAGGGATTTTTCCCTTTTGTAATTTAGCTTTCAGTTTCACTTTGATCAAATTTCGTCGCCAAAAAGCTCTTATAACAAATCAGGGGCACCCAACGGCTGTTTTCCGTAAAATATCTGTTCGAAGAAGCAAAAATTGCCTAGAATTTTCTATACCTTGAGGAAGGCTAAGACATGCTAAGAATTTCTAGATGACCGTTCCATTCATGTTTGATTAGCTTATCTAATAAATTCCCTACCATTTTCTGAAGTTTAATTTTTTGCATTTCACTCCTTGGATTAAGCGTTTTTTCACAGAAAAAGGAAACCTAAAATTGTTGGATTCGAAAATGCGATGGAAAGAGGGATCAGAAAAATTCTCACCTTCGTAAAACTTAAAATTGCCTCTAAACATTTTCGGGAAAATATAATACTGAAGCCCTGGTAATTTCGAAAAGATTCAAGTTGCCCTAGGATGACTGAACAAATATAAACTAGCGCCGATAAGAATGTATTTCTACACATCTAAAATTAAAGTACTGCGGATAGCCTAAAAAGTGTTTTCAATGCTTTTAGGAGAAAACCGTCGTTGGGTGCCCCTGACAAATTCTGTACATGTAGACTGATGAAATCTTAGTGAGAAAGTTGGTCTTAGACTTCCTGTTTTTCTCCTTACACTGCCGATATGCCTCTTGTGTGACCTTTAACAAAGACTCGCATTTTGTGTGTGATTTCAAGTAAAGTGGAATATTTATTGTTGCAGATGTGCTGTCATATACCCTACCCTGCTCTGAGACTTTCTTGACAACGTCTTCATTTTTTGGCAAACCAGACGCAGGACCGGACTGTTGACAAATTTTAGAGGTAGTATTACAAAAGATAGTTTTCCCTCAACTTGATTTTCCTCTGCTAACTAAGTGTGGTCGTTAGGAATCGATGGCAGATAATATATTGTTTTTGAATATGTCCCTTGTAAGTTCGAAGTGTTTATTCGAAGTTTGGCTATTTAATAAGGATGTGACCGACGATAAAATAGCCATGATTGCTATGCGCTGGAGAATTTTCGGGGCTTTGATTACTGATGATTACTGGCGGCTTAATGGAGGATGGCCGCTTGAAGGTTCAACTGTATAATAGAGTTGCCCGCTCAATAGAGGTTTAATTTCCCATTCTTTTCTGCAATTACTTCGGGACATTGATTACTGGCCACTTAATGGAGGTTTAATGTATACAGAGCGGAATGATAACCATGTATGTATAATAAATCAGTGAAAGGGCGGAAAGGAAATCCTACATGATCATGAAAAAACCCTCTGCGATCTGAAAGTTCATAGACAACACGGACTAACATACTTTGACAAAAGTTTAACCCTGAAGATTAAGAACTAGTTGCATTTCTAAGATAAAGGAACCTTGGAGTTTTAGTGTAGCTTCAGCTAATGTAATGCCTACCTAAGTTATAAATTCCCAAGTAGTTAGTCTTGATCGGTTCGCTTGATTTGTCACGACGAAAGGGTCTGCAAGAAATTATACTTTTGTAAGACAAAATTAAGTTAAAAGTTAATTGCCGTTTCCTTCACAAAATAACAGGACTTGCACAAAACTTACCAAGCCACAATCAACCCTTCTACCAAGCTCGAAAAAGTTGAACCTAAGGGATTTTTCTCTTCTGTAATTTAGCTTTCAGTTTCACTTTGATCAAATTACGTCGACAAAAGTGAGTCAGACGTAAGTGCTTCCAGAAATAGCTCCAAAAATGCAGCCAACCAGGAATACGAGAAGTCACATTAAATCCAATATACAAATAATGTTTCTTTAAAGAAATAACAAAAGGCTCTCAAGCTAGAGCTCTTATGACCCATCTTTCAGTGAGGGCGTTAATCTTAGACTTCCTGTTTTTCTTCTTACACTGCCAGATATGCCTCTTGTGTGACCTTTACAAGACTCGCATTTTGTGTGTGATTTGAAGTAAAATGGAATTTTTATTGTCGCAGATGTGCTGTCATATACTCTACCGCTGAGACTTTCTTGACAACCCGACTTGTGACAAATTTCAGTGGTAGTATTACGAAAGATAGTTTTCCCTCAACTCCTCCCAATTTTCTACTGATCCGCTATAATTTTATCAAGGTACTAACAAATTTCCGCATTACATGAGATCGAGGCAGTTTACCAGTTTTAATCCTGTACTAATCCCATGAAATCAAATTACCCTCCCCTCCCTTCCCCCCTTGCTCCCAATCCCTTGCCCCTTTTTGTTAGCCTTTGAGCAGGATCTCCGTTTGGGGAAAAGGGTGAAAAAAACCTCGTGATTTTTTCAGATCACACTTTCCCCAAACAGAAAGCCTGTTCATAGGTTATCCTTTTGTCGCTTGCTTCGCAGGTTAGACAAATTCTCGCTTTCCGGACCGTGCTCATCAGTAAGCAAGAGAGGATCCTCTCTTGTCAGTAAGTAAACAGCTCGGCTCGGAGTTTTTCTTTCCCCCGGGGTGGGAACTCATTGATAATTCTGTTTGATATATCAATATCGATATCTTAAATAATCTGAGGTGAAGATGTGGGACGGGGATGGGTTCTTCCGTTACACTCAACAGCTTTATGCTACTTTAAAGTATTGTTTGGTAGCCAGTACCGCGCGCTGGCTTCACTAGGAGCAGTTCCTCAGATAAATGTAACCGAAAATTACTGAAGGATTCCACTAGTTGTAATCAAATGTCGTTATCGCCCAAATTTTTAACGTTCAGCGTAAGGAGGAAACAAAAAAAATCTGGTTTTTGTTACTGGCTGCAGTGCCAAGAGTCTGTGAAATATCTTACCAGCATCTCCTACAATGCTGGAAAAATCACGGTCCAATGTTTTCTTTCTGTTTAAAAAATATAAGCCCCAACCTCTTCCCCTCTAGGATGTCTTTGTTCTATCAGAGATTTGAAGTTTTCTGTGATCTGGCGGCAATATAGTTCCCAGTCTCTTAACGGCCACCTCCCTACAACGGACTCAAGGAGGGAGTCCCCGCTTTAACCTCGTTCCCAGGGCGTTTCCCTGAGAAAATGGGAGGGGTGGGGAATGCTTTGCTTCAGTTTGCTTCAGTACCTCTATTTGACTCTCTATATAGGTAGTCACTTCTCTAAAAAAAAAAAGAAATACGCGAAAGGTGTCCGTCTTACACGGAGTTGACTGTGCTTCAGTCGAACCCCCAGGGTATCTTCAGGTTTGACACATTTCCCCGCTCATTATTTTATCAGTGGTTGTGCAGAATCAGTAGATAGCCATACTATATGCCACACGCATCCTTTGATTCAATGATTACACCTGCACTTAACACCTCTACAAATCTTCTTTTCAGTTCCTGAAAAAGAAGTTGAATTAAGACTCGCTATATCTTCGGAATATCATTATGGTAGGTATAAACGTCGAGGTTTCTTTTCAGAGAATGAAAAGCCACCGTGGGGTTGGGGGTGGGGGGGGGGTACTTTCAATTTTCTATAATGGCCTATACGAGAAAACTCGGCCCGAAAGGGGTATCCTTTTTACATGTAGGTTTGAGGTATATGAAAGAGAAGGGATTTCACTAGTTGAAGTATATGAAAGGATAGGAAAATCTGTCTACATTTTATATTTTCGATCTGTAAAATGGCCCAAACAAATGCTAACATATGCATTTTATGGCTGCGAAAAATTCCAGATCACGTGCTGGTTTTCTTATTTATTTATATTTTAAAGACAGTGTATTTACAGCAATTATTTTCCCTTTGCTCGATTTTCTGTGTTCTTTTTAGGGGAATATGTTACATAATCCATCACAGTATTATTCACTGTCTTAAAAGTTGGTGGCGGCTTTGATTGTAATAGAGGCGGGGTGCGGGGGCTGAAACAATTAGTAGCTGATAACAATGACAGAACAATGTACTATATTTTTTCATTCCCTGCTCATATTCCCCAGCTCAACATGTTTAACCATCCTACTAAAACTACACAAGTCAGAATTTTTCGATTTAGTGTACTTACCACATTTTCTTGGACTTCACTAAATCTTTAAAGACAGTGTATTTACAGCAATTATTTTCGCACTCCGCCTCTATTACAATCAAAGCCGCCAAGCGTTGCAATGTTGGAGAAATGTTGTAACTATTCGAAACAATGTTGCAACAATGTTGCAACGCTGTGTCGCGCTAAAATCGTCTCGTGTAAAGTCACCTTTAGAAAACCAAAACTGTATATCGGTTGCCGACACGAAGAATTAGGTTGTGAAGGGAGGGGTGACTGGGAGGGCCACATAGTAAGAACTAAGTTGTGAACGGAGGGGTGACTGAGAGGGCCACACAGTAAAAAATTACTAGAGATCGAGACACTTTGGGGAGCTAATTAAGCTTCACTGACAGCTAAATAAGAAAGCTAACTAACCGAGCTAACTAAACGTTTCTAACTAAGCGTTTCTTTACTAAAATCCAAGGTCAGGTCAAAAATAAGGATCATTGGGATTTTTCGTTAGGAAAAGAAACGTTGTATCCAAATGTGAAAACATGTTTTTCACTTAAACACCAGTGTGGAAACAGGTTTTTTCCTTTCACAAAAGACTCAAAGAGGGGGGTCCCCGCTTTAACCTCGTTCCCAGGGCGTTTCCCTGAGAAAATGGGAGGGGTGGGGACTGCTTTACTCCAGTACCTTTACCTTTATTTGACTCTCTCTGTGTGTAGTCACTTCGATTGGGAGATTGCTGGGAAAAAGTTATGTGTTCCTCACTCCCAGCAAGACTGATGGAAGAGTTCCAAGCCAGCAAGGTGTACCTAAAACTTGCAACCTGACTTACTGGAAAGTTTCCCAGCAGACGTATCTCCAGGCACTTCTGGCCGGTTTGGGTGAGGCCACAGGACAAAATTCAGACCTTCAGTGAGGGGTAGAGAGGGGCATAGAAACATGGGTGTGGCCAAAAGGCGAATTTATCGCTTCATGGGGTGGGGAAGTTTCTGGCAAAACATTCATCCCAGATATTCTACACATCAAATCCCAACAGACACCCACAGTTATATTTTTCCAAGCAACACTTTCCATCTTTGGACAGATCACTTCTTCCAAACTCCCATCCAGCAAAAATTGACCTGAAGAACATATATTTGTTTAGAAACAGATCTATTGGGTGCCCCTGATGCATGTTATGGCTGTGATTCTGGACCAAGTGCTGGTTCTCTTATTTATTGATATTTTAAAGACAGTGTATTTACAGCAATTATTTTCCCTTGTCTCGGTTATTTTAGTTCTTTTTAAGGGAATCATTTGTTACATAATCCTCACACTATTATTCACTGTCTGAAACGTTGGTGGCGGCTTTGACTGTAATAGAACGCGGGGTGCGGGGTTGAAACAATTAGTAGCTGATAACAATAACAGAACAGTGCAATATATTTTTCCATTCCCCTGCTCATGTTCCCCTCAACATGTTTAACCATCCTACTAAAACTACACAAGTCAAAATTTTTCGATTTAATGTACTTACCACATTTTCTTGGACTTCACTTTCTTCGTCGGCTGTTGTCATAGCGCAAACTAGATATTCGCATCACCGGCCGCGTCACTTTTAAACGAATTTAACATTACATCTCCAACTTTTACCTGCGAACGTCCTTGTTTGCAATGTGACTCGTTGGACAACTGACAAAACTCTGTCGCGGTGGGAGATCCGTAAGAGTTTCCAAAACAACTCTGCTTTAACGTTAAGAATAGTATTCCTCGGAGGTACTCGTCTCTTTCTGGTAAAACTACTGTTTGACCTCTCCACACGAATTGACCAATTTCCATATTTTAGAATTCAACCTCAAACAATTCGAGTCTCTTGGGAATAAGCAGTTCTAGAGAATTAATTAAGGTAACTTCCCTTGAACGAAAATGATGTACAATCATGATTTTTTTCAAACTTGGTACAAACGTCAGCCATGTATTGGACATTGGAAAACTGCAATAAAAAGATGGGGTCAACGGGCTTGTTTTCGCCCTGTGTACCCATAATACTGAGCAATTTTTCCTTGTTGCACGCGAAATGTTCGAAACCAATCGTCAAAAATTCTTACTTTATAGCCAAAAACTATGAATCTTTCTAAAACTTTCAGCACGTTTGTTTGTCTGGGTTATATTTTTTCAGTTACGAGACCTTCAATTACCGGATCTTGAAAAAACTGTAGAGAAATGGCCAGTTTTACCATTATCTCGTACATCCGTGGATCTAAATCCGGAAATTTGCGTCATTCATATCTAAAACAAAATATCTTCTATTAGTATATACTAAAAGAGTGGATAGTGTTTTTCGCGCGCTCTAACTGGCTACTCAATCAGTGAATATCCTGCACTATTAACTGATTCACCTCCAGTTCCTCCGAGCGAGCGACGCCAAACTCGCGTAAGTTGCGAGCAAAATGCCTTCCCGGTTTGCTGCCGTAAACAAACAAAGAAATTTCACAACTAATCAAGCAAGCTGTTTCCGAAATACACCAAGAAGGTGACGAAGTTCGGATTTGAAGTTTTAACAGGTAAAGCTTTGTCTTTTTGACACGAATTTATCGATAAAACCGGTGAAAAAGTTTTTTGTTTACAAATGCAAATTAAGTTTAAGTCTTGCGTTACTTTATTTAGTTGAGTTGTTCATAAATAAGCTTAAAACTAAATTTAATAATCGTTTTTTATAGAATGATTTTGAATACAGAAAGAATTCACAACTCCTTTTGAAGAAATTTCCCCGCAAGAGCGAAACAAATGCCTTCAAAAGTTTTAATTGTCGGCAAGAAAAAGCGACGGCCGCGGCCGCCCGGTCATTACGCGACAAAATTGTAATCGGTGGCAACAGTATTTGAGTTAAAAATCGTCATTTTTGTGCTCAATTATCTCACTGTTTTAGTATATACTAAAACAATTATTCACCTCAGTGTCGGTGGCTAGTCGTGGATATTTACCTCACTGCTTCGCAGTTCGGTAAATATCCAGGACTAGCCACCTCCACGTCGGTGAATAATTGTTATCTATCCAGATTTTTTCCTCCCGAATAGATATGTTTTGTGTGGTCATAGCGAGTAAAAAACACAAATAGAAAGGGGGTCACCTTTCCCGTTTCATAGCAAAACGACAACAAAGGGATTATTTCGGCTTCAAACGATCATTTTGCGCGAGAGGACTGGGGCGAGTTTCAACACAAACACCTCTTTAGCCAGGTAGAATAATCAAAATTGCTATTTAACGCATTTGGACTGCAAAAAGAGCCATAACTACTTCTTTTTGGGCGACCGGTGAAAATCAACGCCACCTTTTAAGTCGCAACATTATGTGCTGAGTGATGCGCAATGCCGAAAACAAGCGAATTACCTTAAGAGCTTTTTGCTTTAGGAAACCTCACAATTGAAATACAAGCAAGTTATTTACCTGTCCCTTCGGGGTATATGATATTTATCCATCCACTGCCTGCGTCGCAGACGCTCTAAACCTTCTGACCATACAAATGGTTTAGACAAGTACGTGAGTCGGCTGCAACGCAGACTATCCATCCCAGAGCCGCCCCTCGGGTTGCGCCCTCAGGGCGGCACCAGGTGAAGATATCACATACCCCATCGTTCCAGGTAAATAACCCTTACTTAAAAGGGATGGAAAGATCTTAATTATGTGAAAGGGATACCTTTTCTGTCAAAAATGGTATGTTTAAAAGGGTAAGGAGTTAGACCTTGGGGCGTGGCCTTTGCCTACAAAACTTTTCGAGTACCCCAAGCGGAAAATCCGTTAACATGCTGTTCTATGCACATCAAAATATATCCTGTAGCTCTCTGCTTTTTATATGTAAGGATTACGCTAATAATGTACATTATATTATAAATAATTATTACTTATTACAGTGTCATTTACAATCGTGTGACTTGAAAGCACAAGCAAACCAAAACTTATAGAAGACTTTTAAAGCAGTAATTTAAATTTATGTGGACTTTATTCCATCAAAATCATTTGCTTGTTGCCAGAATGTTAGCTGATCGTCAGCCTAGAGTCGCGTCTGCAATCAAATCTACTATGTGCTTTCTGTAGACCAGTGTCTAATAAACTTACAAAAGAAGGGATATCCTTGTCAGCTTTACAATTTTGAAGTTCCAGATCATTGTTTTGACACTTAACATAGACATCAGTTCAGATACACAAAAAGATAAATTTATTTTTATAGGTACAATCTTGGTTATGTCAGTAAAACGTATTCTCTGTGCAGATGTATAATTAAAAGTCATGAAGACTTAAATCAAACTTGAAAATTTTGTTTTCTACAAAACAGAGATCAACGGACTCTTCAATTTGTTTTGACCAGGCACCAAACAATTACAGAGTTTTTAAATTTCTCTAGTCATCTTTCTATTTTTTTTTCCGGCTTTTCGTCTTGTATCAGGGTGGTAAAAGGTGTCGAGAAGAAAAATCAGAAAACTTTATGGTAAAAACTACGTCGGGAACGCGAATACGCCTGGGCCATTAAATATAAATCCTACGCCTATCAAAAAGACCGAGTAAATGTAAAACTACCTTTATTAGTGCATGATTTATCCTTGTCACTGAACAGGGAATTTGACTTCATTATTAGAATGGAGACCAATCTAGACACTAATGAACTTAAAAAACTCTGCCAAAAGAATTCAAAACTACAGCTGTGTAAATAATATAACAGTAGAGAACTATCTTAAATTGTTACTCTAAAGTGCCTCTGTCCCATGTGGCATCAATGAAAATAGCCGAAATTGACCACTGATTCCTGATATTTTTCAGGTGACTATAAAACAAGTTTCAAGTGCACACGACTGGTCGCAAAATAAGCTACGAAATACCTGTACACTGTAATTTTTAGACTACGTAAAGCTTCAACTTATTTATTAACAGCATATAATTTTCTCTTCTGGATAAAGTGCTCCTATTCTTGCGAGGAACGCTCTACCTCGTAATTGTGACGCAAATTAGAAACTGACTTCAACTTCAGATAGCTAGGAACTGCTTCACTGCATTCTTCATCATACCTATACAACAACAACAACAACAACAACAACAGAAAAAAGCAACGTTAGTTGGCTAACAAAAGAAAAAGATAGTGATTTCACCCGGAGGGGCATAAAATTTTGACAACTCACTTCTAAGAGTGCGCTTGATTGATCGTATTCTGGAATAAGAATACGAAAAAATTTTGTTACAAACCTCTTCTATACCGTAATTTTTGAACCATTTAAAGTTTATATAGATAAGGATACTTTATTTGAAGCAGTTTTGTAGATATTGCAATACAATGAAAGACAAAACAAGTGATTTCTAGCAACTTTATTCCAGTTATTTTTATTTGAGACGCGGAATACGGTGAATCGAACACGCTCTGAATCTATTAGAGCAAAGGGTCACATTTAAATTGGTAACTTCAACCAACGATTAGACTTATTGTGGATTTAAAGAATCTTGCATACCATAAATCCTCTATTAAGCCCCCCTCTCTATAATAAGCTCCCCTTTTTAGGGAAAGAAAGCTTTTAAACCCCCTCTCTCTTCCAAGTCCCTTCTGCCAATTCTTATATTTTAATAATAGACGTATAATGGATGTATTGATTTATCACGATTTGATTTTGATCTTCGGCTTCATGATCTCCAACTTCATGTGCCTGAACTTTTTCACTTAGCGTTCTAGTTCTTTATGAACAAATCTTAATGATACCACAATCTTCTTTCAATAAAATAAGGCCCTCTTTCAAACGTTCTTGAAATAGATTAACCTCCGCAAGGCTTGATAAAGGATTTACCATATCTGGAGACTTTCCTAAGCGACCACCTTCCGTAGAATAAGCGACCGGAAATTTGATCTTGGCATTTTAGGTCGTCGCTTACGTCAGGTTCGACTGTAAGTTTCAATGGAACGAACTCAAACGGGGCCACCGAGACATTGAAATGAAAAGAAATCAATCCATGAGACTTGAAATAAATATTGTAGTGTAAATATTGTATTTAACTGCCAAACAAACTACCAAAGTCAGACTCCGGTGTTGTTCTGGTGAACTTGACCAGTGACTGGCAGATTGATACTAATTAATTGGCACCGGTTGAGTTCGTTGCCTAGTAAAGCGACAAAAATAATTGGTACATAAAATGACGTATGCAAAAACAGGAATTATGATCCCAGGTTTAAATATGTCTCAAAATACCTTGCCTTCAAACTCTAGCGTTACGTCATCACCAATGAGAACAAACGGCGCCCAGTACTTCACTGCACTAAAGTCGTCAGATTCTCTCATGGATTTCATGGCTTCATTCAAGGCCTCACTGGCACTTCGTCCATGGACTAGGTGTTGGTAGAAAACTTTCATGAACTCCATAGTAGCTTCGTCGTCGATCGCCCACAGGGACACCAGAACAGAGCGAGCACCAGCACCCAAAAATGCCCTTGCAATGCCGACCACACCCTCAGATTTCACTTCTCCCCGCGCACTGTGACAGCAACTGAGTACAACAAGTCTTGCCCTAATCTGCGCCTTTAAAACATCTTGCATAGTTAAGAGATAGTCCTCTCTGGCTGGATTCAAGGATGAACGTGTTGTTTTAGGGGCCAAGGCAATTTCTCCTGTTTCCATTTTACCGTGAGCAGCAATGTGCACTAAAGCAACCGAGGAGATACGTCTTAAAACTTCATCTTTTGTTGCCAGCTTTCCAACGAGAGGCTCAGTTTGAAGTATTTCCCCAATCATCTGCACTTCCTTTTCGGCCCACTCTAACTGCTCTACCGTCATTCCTTCATAAACTACCTCCTGTACCCTCGGATCGCCGACAAGAAGAGCGCCAGTCTTGCTATGCCAATCTGCTGGACAATTTTGGATTAATCGCAGACTAGAAAGTGAGGGAAGCAGACGAATTCTAAACGTTTCGCAGAGGTACTTTGATTTTAAGTCCATGAAAGCAGCATAAGGCGCCAAACACAGAGGTCCTTCTGGAACAATCACAACCTCATCGCCCTGGAGTAAGTCTCTTATAGGGTCTATAACAACGTTGTAAAATGTTTGCAATGACTTTGTCTCAAAATAGGAAGGATGAGACTTTACCTTACTTGATCTTTCTTCTGCTAACTTCTTATCGCTTGAATTACTTAATGAACGATCTTCACAATTAACATCAGCTCTTACACCTATTTCTTTATGTGTAGCCTCCAATAGAGACTGGATATAGGTTGTGACGGAGATATCAATCTCAGTTCTTCTAGTTTTGATTTCATTTCCTTTCTCGTTCACCCAGAGAACTATTCCTCCCTCGCTAATACCCATGAAAGCTGTATTTGGTGGTAAATAACTAGCAAAGTCACTTGGTCTTGCAGAAAGTGTTCCTATTTCTGGGCGTAACCCTCTAAGGCCATACTTGAACTCCAGAAGATCATTTAAAGCTCCTGCACGTCCTTGATCAGCAGTTAAAAGTGCCTCGATGACTTTACCTTCCTTAAAAAGCAGCTCCCACAGCCTTAAATTAATCTGATCATACGTACTTTTCAGGGTAATCTTCCATTCGTCGTTAGATATGAGATTTCTCCTAATGTGGTCGAAGGCTATAACACTGTTCTCATAACACTGAACGGCTTTCTGGAAATTTCCAAGACTGTTATAGTCAGTGCCAAGATTACCGTACGCTCTTCCTTCTCCTGCCCTGTCTCCCACTTCTTTCGAAATTTTGAGGTCTCGTTCATGGTACTCTATGGCTTTCTGGAAATCTTTAAGACAGTGATAGGCGTTGCCAACATTACCGTACGCTGTTCCTTCTCCTGCCCTGTCTCCAACTTCTTTCGAAATTTTAAGGTGTCGTTCATGGTACTCTATGTCTTTCTGGAAATCTCCAAGACTGTGATAGGCGTTGCCAACACTACCGTACGCTCTTCCTTCTCCTGCCCTGTCTCCAACTTCTTTCGAAATTTTAAGGCAGCGTTCATGGTACTCTATGGCTTTCTGGAAATCTCCAAGACTGTAATAGGCGTTGCCAAGATTACCGTATGCTGTTCCTTTTCTGCCCTGTCTCCCATTTGTTTCGAAATTTTGAGGTGTCGTTTATGGTACTCTATGGCTTTCTGGAAATCTCCAAGACAGTGATAGGCGTTGCCAACACTACCGTACGCTTTTCCTTCTCCTGCCCTGTCTCCCACTTCTTTCGAAATTTTGAGGTCTCGTTCATGGTACTCTATGGCTTTCTGGAAATCTCCAAGATTTCTATAGGCGTTGCCAAGATTACCGTACGCTCTTTCTTCTCCTGCCCTGTCTCCAGCTTCTTTCGAAATTTTGAGGTGTCGTTCATGGTACTCTATGGCTTTCTGGAAATATCCAAGACTGTGATAGGCGTTGCCAAGATTACCGTACGCTCTTCCTTCTCCTGCCCTGTCTCCCACTTCTTTCGAAATTTTGAGGTTTCGTTCATGGTACTCTATGGCTTTCTGGAAATTTCCAAGGCTGTCATAGGCGTTGCCAAGATTACCGCATGCTCTTCCTTCTCCTGCCCTGTCTCCAACTTCTTTCGAAATTTTGAGGTGTCGTTCAAGGTACTCTATGGCTTTCTGGAAATATCCAAGACTGTGATAGGCGTTGCCAAGATTACCGTACGCGCTTCCTTCTCCTGCCCTGTCTCCAACTTCTTTCGAAATTTTGAGGTTTCGTTCATGGTACTCTATGGCTTTCTGGAAATCTCCAAAGCTGTCATAGGCGTTGCCAATATTACCGTACGCTCTTCCTTCTCCTGCCCTGTCTCCCACTTCTTTCGAAATTTTGAGGTGTCGTTCAAGGTACTCTATGGCTTTCCGGAAATCTCCCAGATTGTAATAGGCGATGCCAAGATTACAGTACGCTATTCCTTCTCCTGCCCTGTCTCCCACTTCTTTCGAAATTTTGAGGTGTCGTTCATGGTACTCTATGGCTCTCTGGAAATCTCCAAGGCTGTCATAGGCGTTGCCAAGATTACCGTACGCTGTTCCTTCTCCTGCCCTGTCTCCCACTTCTTTCGAAATTTTGAGGTGTCGTTCATGGTACTCTATGGCTTTCCGGAAATCTCCGCGACTGTAATAGGCCATGCCTAGGGCGTGCTGGAAATCTTTAAAGTTGACAAAGGGGTCGCCATTATTACCATTAATAGCTGTGGTTGTCATAGTTTTTTTCGCTGGCTTTGCTATTTCAGCTCAGCCACATATTGTGGTTTCTTTTTTCTGCTGATACCATCAGTCTCTTTGCATACGATAATGAAGAAGGTCTGATAAGTAAAATTAAAAGCTGGAGTAAAAGCTTATTTATTAGCTCCTTTACTATTTGTTTTTATCTATCACAGTCGCATTCGATTTGCATCAAAAAGGGATGCTTATACGTGTTTTTCATCGTTGTATAATATGACTTGATGGACTGGGGTCTTCTCTAACAAAAGAAAATATTAACATTCGTTTGGTGATAATGATCGAAATTAAAAAAACAACAACAACAAAGAAACAGATTTACCATTGTTTAAACTTGGTGTATATTTAGAGGATATTATATGGCCGAGCGGAGATGGCAAAATTCTCTTCGAGTGTTGAAAAATATTTCACTCGTTCGCGCATGTTTTTTTCAACACGAGAAGGGAAATTTCGTATCTCCAAGCGACCATGTAATGTTCTATTTATTATATAAACACCAATGAAACAGCAACCATTTTACTTAAATAGTTTTTGGTCTCAAAAGGTTATGAAGCTATAGCAACGATGACATTTTCACGTGTGAAGATAATATGTTATTTTCACATGTGAAGATATAAAGTTTTCGCGCGGAAGCTCACTTGGTATTTCATTGGTGTTTATATAATAAAAATTGTCTCTCTGCTCATTATACGTTCATCTACCTTCCACTGAAAAAATAAATTTGTTGTCAACAAACTACAAACCGGGCCTGCGGAAACATTTCAGAAAATTCAAATTTGGGAAAGTGAACTTATTTCTAAGGGTTAACATCGATCTCTGGGTAGCGGAATACAAGTGTTTAGCAATTGAAAAGAAAACCTAATTCTTTACCACCAAAACACTGAGCAAGTTACAGGTATTTTAAGCTTGTGGGTTTTCAAAAAACTGTAATAGTTCCACAGCTGGTTCCAGCTAAAGTCCAACTCGGTGTAAAAACCTGAGGAGTTTTCCTTTAATCCCTCCTATTTTCTTAAGTAGATCTGCAAGTAGGATGAGCATGATCGTCCGAGGGCTGACGTAGTACTAAATAGGACTGTTGCATTGACATTGACTGACGCGCAGTAATCATCTGCAGAGTCAAAGTGAGTTGTATTAGGTCAGTTGATGGTACAGTCGAACCTCCATGTGGGACCACCTCTCATAAGCGACCACTTCCCTTAAGAGACCGCCTATCCAAAACTCATGTACCAAAACTTTCCCAGTCAAAGCCTTACAGTTGGAACCTCTAGTAAACGACCACCTCTTGTAAACGACCGCGACCACTTTTTGGGCCGGAAAGTTTAATGATTTTCCATTGTTTTTAAGCTCTAGTAAGCGACCAAACTCTACCACTTGACGCATTCTCTGATCCCTAGTTTGCTGTGTGCACTATGCTACTTAGAATATACGACATGTACGAAGAACTTTAGAAACAACATTGAACTCAGTACACATGGCGTAACTTAGAAATTGCATACAATAAATCATCTTTCATAAAGTACTGTGCCCAGACCTCTTCTGGGAAGAGGCCCCCTGTGGTTCGACTCTTGTAAGCGACCACTAAGTCTTTGCATTTTGGGTGCTCGCTTACGGGAGGTTCGACTGTATTAAACTCTGGTTATTGATCTGATTGGACAATTTCGCGATGCTATTGGTCGTCTGTCAGTTAAGTAGTGAATATTGGCTATGAAGAGTCGTAATGTCATTGGACAGTTGACTTTCCATCCGTCTATATTGTCACAGTTAAACAGTCGTTTATGTTAGTCAAATTGTCGGTTGTCCAGTCATTCTCTCGTAATTAGTTTTGCTTGAGTCCGTCAATAAAGTCGTTTGTACGGTACCGGCAACTGTTGACTACGATTCAATGACGTTTGTTCTCAATTAAAAATCAGCTTTCTAAAGTGGGTCGTTGATAGTAGTCTGAGAATACGTAATACATGTCGCAGCGTCCCAGTCGATTTGATCGATGTTTCGTTTGTACATGGTGATCAGCAATGTGATTGTTGACGTCACCATTTCTCGTCGTTCGTTTGTGTTCGGTCAGTCGCGTGCTAAGGTTTCTGCCGGTTTCACCAATGTAAGTAGCCTGACAGCCGCAGCATTTGATCGTTAATACTGCTCCTTGTCTGTCCTCCGGTTTGTCTTTGTTCTTGACATTAGTGTGCAACACGTATATTGTAAGGTTGTAGTATACGCGCGATAGTTTCAGAGGTGCCTCTGAAACTATCGCACGTACACTATACCAAAAAGAGTGATAAATAGTTTGAATAAAGCGATTTTAAAAATCATCCACGTTTCTTTGTCCGGAAATAAGACCACTTTTCCGGAAATGGGTAGCCTGCGAACAGCAGACGTATTTCCGGTCGTCGCTTCTAGGAAATGGGACGAGTAAAATTGGTTTTTGAAGGCACTAATTTCTTTTACGTGATAAAATGTACGTAATTATCTCTATAGCAACGAATTATTAATCTGGCGCATGCTCAACAGAAGTCCCAAGCGGCTTGCTGCACAGGTTTCTCACAGGGCGTAAACAAACCAACTACGCGAAACACAAGCCACGCAAATGACTGCGTGAACACTAAAAGCAGAGAAATCTCTGCTCGCAGGGTAGTAAACAGTAAGGTGAAAACATAATTACTGAAATAGAAAATCAGATTACATGTAGCAAAGTCATTAAGGATGCAGTTCATGAGAATTATCAAAAGTGATCATGACTTATGATTATTGAATATGCGGGCCTTCATTTTCAAGCACTGAATCCATGTAAAAAGTACAAATTTTTTAGCACTTATGCAAGTGTTTAAAGAAACAAAATACTCGTGCAAGAGTGAATTTGTATGAAATGAACACAAACAAGGTGATCAGTTTCTCCATTGGTCTTCATTCTAAACATGCATGAGCTTGTTGAGACAGTGCATGACAGAGCCATAGATTTTCAAATTCCCAGACTGACAGGCAATGTACATTTTCCCTGTAATACATGAATTTATCGTGAATGTAAAGTGCAGAATGGATTGATCTTATAGGAAACCCTATTTCATATTTTATGATTATCTACTTGCATGTCTTTTAATTTCTTGAAACAACCTTCTTTTGCCAGTGGAACAGTTAAGTTTTCCCTGACTCATACTGAATTTCTTTAACTTACTATGACATACACCGCAGAAACAAAGATTGAAAATCATTTGATACGCTAGCGAAGCGTAATGAACTACAGTAGTTTAATATGTCACTTGTCCACTCACTCCATAGCTCGCGTGCTTTAAACCTTACCGTGGACAGGTTTCAGACAAATAACTCACGGACTTTCATACAATAGACTTTTTTACTGATACGGCGGCCATATTGAATTAATTCGATTTAAGGTACTACAGGGACTACAGCTACTACAGCTACTACAGCTACTACACCTACTACAGGTACTACAGCTACTACAGGTACTACACCTACCACAGCTACTACAGCTACTGCAGCTACTACAGGTATTATTGCGTCTACTAGAGCACAGCCACTACAGCACTAACGGTGGGCGGTGGCCCGGGACATTTTGGGCAGTCTTACACCAAGTACTACCCCAAGCCTCAGCGTTCCGGAAGTTAAAAAATGCGTAGCGTCTGAGTATCTATCATCCTAACACTTTTGCGGGTCAACTACCGCAGCGCTCGTAAAGTACTTTTTAAAATTAAAATCTTGTTCAAACCCCTGTGGAGGAAGTCTGTTTATTTTTGAGTCGGTAAATGCACTTCTGACGTTCACGAGGTTCAATTTTGCATAAATTATCAAAAATTTTGTTAAGCGGGAAATCTACCTATGGTTCGCAGGAAGCGGAACTGTATAGCAGCGCAAGGCGAATGTTTCGAGAGTCAAGGATGTGCTTACAAACTATTCACTATACCTATGCAACGAAAGGTGAAATCACTGGCATGATAGCTCCTGCAATGGTAATTGTATCAATCCAGGTCGCGACCGAGTTCGCTCCAGAAGGCTGCGACTACCTCGTTTGGCGCGCTTCTCTGGAGGAAATATTTGGTTCCAAGTGGGGTAAATGCTTATATTTACATTTATCCCATCTTGCGCACCGCAAACTCAATCGCAGATATCCTGGTATATAATTATACCTGAGCACTTCTAGGATATAAAATTAGGCAGTTGTTCTATATCCTTTCTGGTTCACCCAGGTAGAAGTCCTGGCATCATATAATTATGCCTGAGCGCTTCTAGGATATATAACACGCTTAGCGTTTCGACGCGTAGAAAGAAAAAATTAGGCCGGCAGTTGTTCTATATCCTTTCTGGTTCATCCAGGCAGAAGTCCTGGCATGATGTTATTATGCCTGAGCGCTTTTAGGATATATAACACGTTCAGTATTTCGACCCGTAGCCGATAAAAAATTAGGCAGTTGTTCTATATCCTTTCTGGTTCATCCAGGCAGAAGTCCTGGCATGATGTTATTATGCCTGAGCACTTCTAGGCTATATAACACGTTTAGCATTTCGACGCGTATGTAGAAAAAAAATTAGGCAGTTGTTCTATATCCTTTCTGGTTCAGCCAGGCAGAAGTCCTGGCATGATGTTATTATGTCTGAGCGCTTCTAGGGTATATAACACGTTCAGTATTTCGACCCGTAGCCGAGAGAAAATTAGGCAGTTGTTCTATATCCTTTCTGGTTCATCCAGGTAGAAGTCCTGGCATGATATAATTATGCCTTAGCGTTTCTAGGATACATAACACGTTTAGCATTTCCATCCGTAGAGAGAAAGATATCCTATCTTTTCGTTGTACTAAATCAATGTAAATGTACTACACAGCATCGGGGAGGGGGAGCACTATCGAAATCGAGTAAAATTGAACTATAGATATTTAATCGTTTTTTCCTGTGTATTTGTA